AGAAGATGAGAGAAGTAAGATAGAAACTGAGAAAAGGGGTACAGCTGGAATATTTTGGGTTTTTCAATCATAATAACTCATAGGGCAAATGTTAGCCACGTGCAGTTATTGAATATTTGAAATACAGCCAGTTCAAATTGACATGTGTCATAAATATGAAATATATACTGGATTTTGGAGAAAGATTTAGGATGAAATGAATATAAAAAAAAAAGAAATGAATATGAAACTATTTTATAAGCAAGTTTTTCATACTGATTACATGTCAAGTTGATAATATTTTGGATATATTGAGTTGAATAGAATATATTATTACAATGATTTTACCTGTTTCTTTTCAGTTTTTAAGATGTGGGACTAGGAAAAATTAAAATTACAAACATGAGTCATAAAGCTGTCCTGTGCCATACACAATACCCACATATGCACACTCATGTGCCAGTTTTATTATAGTTTATAATTAATGCACAAAATCTATAATTTGTTTTATACTTCCATAGTTTGACACTTTTTAAGAGGATTTCTCTTTTTTCCTTTGTCTTCTTTGTCATTTGCAAAGAATGGGTTGCTAACAATGTATCCTTGATCCAGAGACATGTTTCACTCTCAGTTTTCTTAACTGTACAATAGGACTAAAACTCTTACCCTGTTATTTAATTAGGTTTTTGTGTGTCAACTGGAAGTCAGAAAGTGTTCAACAATTAAAAGTTATTACTCTGTGTTGTTTAAGAGAGGCAAGGGTCCTCCTCTATTTCATCAAATCTGAGATCAGGAGAAACTTGAAGAGAATTTTAATAAAATGTGCCAAGATTTGAGTGGTCAGTTATGTTGTTTTACTTTCTGTGTTCAACAGAATGTTTCCACTAACTTGGGGTCGTGCAGGGTGGAGAGGACTGACTGCAGGTGAGGCTTCAGGAAGCGTGGTGGGTCCCCGAGGAAGGGTCTATTGTGTGGGAGGTAAAGGGATTTAGTATAAGGCATGGGAGATGGTTCTAAGTTCAAGATGTGATATGCAGAATAATGACTCTCCAAAGGAGTCTACATATCAATCCCTAGCACCTCTGCATGCTATCTCACAGAGCAAAAGGGATTTTGCAAATTTGACTAAGTTAAGGCTGTTGGTTTAGGAAGATTAAGCCTGGATTATCCAAGGGGAGTCCAAGGAAATCACAAGGGTCCTCATATGAGGGAGGCATGAAGGTCTAAGAGAGAGTAGACATGACAACAGAAGCAGAGACTGGAATGGTGATATGCTTTGAAAATGGAGGAAGGGGCCCTGAGCCAAGGAAAACTGGAGCCTCCAGAAGGCAGCCAGGCAAAGGTGCAGGTTCCCCCTACACACTCCTTAATTTCAGCTCTGAGACCCATTCCAAGCTTCTGACCTCTGTAAGTGTAAAATAAATTTTGCTGGCAATTTTGTATTTGTTACAGCAACAATAAGAAACTAACACAAACTTATGACTTACAATAGTTCAACATATTTTTTGACTTCATGATGGTACAGAAATATATACCAAGTATTCTTTTGTATTATGAAATGCACTTTATAACAAATTATTTTGCCCAAATGTAGGTCAGTGTAAATGTTCTGAGTGTGTTTAAAGTAGACTAGGCTAAGCTATGATGTTTGGTAGATTCGATGTATTCAAATGCAAAAACTGTCAGAATCAAGATGGAGTTATTTGTATCATGACCTAGAAAATGGAAATAAAGCTGGGAACTTATAAATGAGGCCTTGTCATTCTTATATAGAGAGATCTATCTATCTATCTATCTATCTATCTATCTATCTATCTATCTAATGCTGGATAATAAGAATTATCACAAAAGAATCTGCAAGTATAATAACCTTACACAGAGGCCATTACAACCTTAGAAAATATTTCTGCAAAGATGTCTGCCCACCAACCTCTGTCCACACTTGGAAAGTGTCATTGTTATTGATCATTATAGCTAAGCATAGTTGGTTCAAAACACTTTATGGAATCTCTCTCATTTGACTTTAAGAAACTTCCCCTTGACTCAATGTCCTTGCACACAATCATTGCTGTTTCTGATTATTCCCACTGTAAGGCTCTCAGGTTCCCAAATAAACCTACTAATCCTTGGAGAGTCTCTTCCCATTTGTTATTTACATTGACAATACACTCTTGTGGCTTTTGGTATTTTTGATTAATGACAGGTTTACTGAGACATATCCCCATTATAACTTGAGAAGTATCTTCACACTAAGCAGTTTACCCTGTACTATAACATATGAATAACCTGGATGAGTTCGTCCAGTGAACCATCTCATACTGTGGTAACTACACATGGGCAACCTCTAACTAAGCTTATCACATGGAGGGGTTCATATTTTCCTTTAATTTCACAAAAACATCACTGATTGGGGTGCATTGCCGGAAACTGGTGCTGAGAACACAAGGGAGATGACAGTGATGGGAATGGGGTCTGCACATTAGACAGCTGCATTTTGGGAAGTAGGGGTCATCTCAGAGAAGGCCCTCTACTTGATGCCTCTCAGCTGAAGATTCCTGGCTGAACTAGCTGCATCAGCAAGTGTCTAAGGTGGCTTTGTGGGTACACACAAGATCTGCCTCACCGGAGAACTCCCAGAAGTACTTCAGAAATGTATTGCGAATTTTACTGAATAGAAATGACTCTGGAGCTGGTAAAAATCAGGTGAATAATGGTGAGTAATGATGTGATCATATTTGTATTTATAGGCTGGTGTTACCTGGAATAATTGCCTTAGAATGTTATAAAAGGTGGGCTTTGACTTGGCTTTTAACAGGCATCCAAAGATGACCCATATTTAGAACCATAAAATCTGCAATGCCAAACCCCAAAACTCTGGAAATTAAAACTTGTTTTATTTTTATTTGGCAGCAAGTTTAACCATGAAGTGAAATAAAATTATTTATGTCTTTTTAAAAAATAAAACTATTTGTCTCATCTTATTTGGTATGAATATTCACATATTCCATTGCAGAAACAGTAATGTCCCTGATGATGGGGTGCTGCTACAGGCTTTCCTGGACTGTTATGTAATATATAGTATATATATGATTTTTCCTTTTAAAAATCCAAACATCAGTCTGAGCTAATTTTGTCCAAGACTTCAGAGGAGTTCCGGAGCTGCAAAGGGATTCCTTCATTTATTGGGTTCCAGGTTGAATAACCTCCGCCTGTGACATTATTTGGAAATGAGGCCTGTGCAGATGTAATTAGTTAAATGGAACTCCAAAGTGTTGGATGACAGTGAGCCCTGGATCCAATGACTTGGTGTCCTTATAAGCAAAGACACGCAGAAGGAAGTCATGTGATGATGGATCTAAGCATTGGAGTGATGCAGGCATAAGCCAAGGAACGTTAAGGACGGCCAGCAACAAGATGTGAGGAGACGGCATGCGCAGGGGTGCAGGCTAGGGTGACTCTTTCTTCCTCAGTCCATCACATGGAAGTAACTGCACTGACCACTTGATTTCAGACTTCTGTAGTCCTGAACTGGGAGCGAACAAATGTCGAGTGTTTTAAGCCACCTAGTATGTAGAAATGTATTGTTTTTATACTAGGAAATTAGCACCTGGGCCAGAACTATTTTAGTTATAGGAATGAAAATAGGAGTATCTTAAACTCTTGAAAATTTCATTAATTCATTCAGTAGACTATATCTTTTAGTAAAGAAATGACTGCAAAACTACAGCTTACATAGTGACATTATATTCTTTTTAAAAAGAATGTTAATATGATATTTATGATAATACTGCTTTTAATAGAAAACACTGAAAACTAATCATCTGATTATAAGGAATGGCAAAAATCAAGTACAGTACATTAATACTATAGAATAATTATCAGTCTAAAAATTAATGTTTTTATGGAATGAGAAATTGTTCATGCTGGGTTAAAAATAGTATATAAGAGTTGTCAGAAGTTGTCACAATGAGCATGTGACATTTATGCATTTCACTGTGTAAGTCATACATTTAATGCATCTAAAAACAATAAAAATATTGAACTCTAGACAACATAGTTTTTATTTCAATTTTTTAATATAGCGTTTTTGTAGTGGTGTGATTTAGTAATTCTGAAGCTTTCTTTGTATTCTAGGATTAATCAAGTGAGTACATAACCAGGGTAATGGGAGTCAGTATTTTTTTTCACTGTTGAAAAAGGGAGTTACAAATGTGAATAGGGGGAAGTCAAGACTGCACCCTAAAGTGTTGACTTGGAAATGGAGGCATTAGTTGCATTCAGGGTCTGTTAGTATATACTTAACACATATCATATTTATAGATAGATGAGTATGGGAAGTATATAATTACCCAGACAGAGAAACAACTATAAACAGATGATATATGTTATATATTGGTCTTAGGAGAAATGTCTACATAGTAACAATGAACATATTATTTATGAGACAGGCCTGTTTACCTGCTGCACGGTATGCCAAGAGAAAGAACTTAGTCACAGGCAGCCACAAGGGAGGAGACAGTAAACCAAAACTCAAACGCACCTTGCCAAGAACGGGGCTTAGTGGTGTTTATGGGATAAGGAAGCACAGTGATTTAAGACATGGGGAAAGGTAAGTGGAGGTAAAATAATCAGTGGTCTGCCCATGAGTATTCAAATTTCATGGGTCTTCATAGGCTAGATGTTCAGCAAAAGGTAGCATTAACATGATCTAAGGGCAGAATTTTGGCCTTTAACTTGAAAATGTCACTCATTGAACACCTGTTCAGGCCCAAGTGAAGAGTCAATGGTTTCAATAAAAGTGGCCTTTGAGTTCCTGAAAAGTAATCTAGGCAACCATTGTTACATGACGGAGTTTGTTAGTTACTTTTCTTCATTGCTGAGACAGAATACCCAATATCCAAAGTTCAAGGAGAAAGGTGTATTTAGCCCACAGTTTGTAGAGATTTCAGTTCTTCGTTGGCGGGCTCCAAGGCAGGGTGGCATGGCAGAGGAGCATCACAGAGGAGAAACAGTTCATGGCAGGCAAAAGGCAGCAAAGTAGTGAAGAAGCTGCAGCAACTGACAAACAACAAGCAATGAACAACCATAGCCCTCTCTCTGTCTCATATTTTATCCAGGCTACCTGCCCTTAGGGTGGGTAGCACTCACACCTTAATCCTAGCATTGCACTGAGAATCAGTCCTAGCATCACATCTTTCATCCCAGCGTCACACACCCTAGGTCCAGCCACCTCTGTAAAGCCCCTCCTATGACTGCATGAAGCTTTGGGGATACATCTGGTACAAGTCATAACACAGAGGTATCATCTACAGAAAAGGTAATAAGAGACTAACAATACATCGCTTAGATAGTGACATCAAAAATTAGTGAGTCATAAAGTCAACTAAAAGCAAGTAACCCAAAGGAAGTGATACTAGGAGGTTTATTATTCAGGTTTTCCTTTGGTTTCACACCTTGCGCCTAGAATCTGTATTCTAAATTCCATTCTCCAGCCAGGTGTGGTATACATATACATATACATAATTTATATATGTATATATAATAAAAACTGGGTATATACATATATGCACATATAAATATATATAAAGGTATGTGACATGTATAATGGCATATCATATATATCTAGAAAGTGATGTACATACATATATTTTACATGTACCTATTCCACTATATTCTGAACTGTATTACTGTCAACAATCTAGAAATTATACATGGTATATTAGCTTTTTGTCACTATAATAAATACCTGACACAAGGTGCTTATGAAAAAAGAGGTATATGTAGTTCCCCGTCCTGGAGGTTGAAAGTGTAAGTGGCACAGAATATGTCCACCAAGGCACGTGCCTTGGCCACGTCATCTCCTGGTGCAGATGGCTATAGTGGTGGTGCCTGCGGGAGAAAACAAGTGATTATTATATCTTGAATGAGGGGCAGAAAGAAAGGAAGGGGCAAGAGTTGCTCCCTTTGTAACCCTTTGCTGAGAATGCAAGGGGTTGCAGGAGGACACGATTCTACTTCTTAAAGGTGCTGCCACCTCCCAGTAGGGCCACCCTGGGAGCCAGGCCTCCAGTATGTGAACCTCAGGGGGACACAATTAAGCCATACCTAACCCACAGCACTGAGTGCTATTCCCCAAATGAGGTCAGTTGTCTTGAGTTCTGACCTACGATCAAGCTAGAAGAATGAGTTCCTAACTTTCCTACTTCCTCCCTCCCTTTCCCTTTTTCTCCCTCCTTTTCTTTCCTGGGGATTGAAGCCAGGCCCTCCGCATGCTGAGCATCAGCTCTCCTGGTGAGCTGCACCTACAGTCCCACACTCCTTTCTTCTATCTTTCTTTCCTTTCTCTTTGAACAACTGAAGATACTCACAAACCTAGAATTCAATTCCCATTTATTCTTCATTGCCTAGTTCTACGACCTTAGGCGATGTTCAAGTTATTGAACATCTGATCTGTAGTTTACCCTTGAGTAAACTGTAAAAAATGATAAGTATCTTACAGGGTTACTGAAGAGAATGAAGACAGTGATCTTAAGACTTCAGCACAGTGTCAGCTTCACTGTGGGTGGTCCGCTGTTGGTTCTCTTGCACACTCTGATTTACTTCTTTATTTTTTTATGCAGTCTTCACAGGGTCCGAAGGCAGAACTAGTTGTGCTATGCTCTGTGCCCTGGAGATTTTTTCTGCTTTTACTTAAAAGAGTATTTGCCAGAGGCGGGTTGAGATTTTCCTTTTTATAAGTTTGTCTTCCAGGGAAAAGCTGAGAGCTTTTCCCTGAGCACAAATGTGCCACTTTCATCTCAGGATCCCCAGTGCCTGGCATAGTGTCTGGCAAACTGCAAAACTCAACAAATGCTGACAGAAAGTGGGAATTCCAGTCCTCACAACCCTTCTCATGTGACATCTCTTTATCCTCTAACTAGAAATACTTTTTCCCTCTGGTGGGAACTCTGACCACATTCTGACTTGAATCATAGTTATTTGCAAGTGCTTTTGTTTTTTTCTTTTCTTTTTAATTTCCCCTCACACTGCTTCACACAATCCCAGTCATATGATTGCTGGAACTGCATCCCATTAATCTCAGAAGTCCCAGCAGTGTCTGACCCATGCATTCCATCATTTGTTTAAGACGTAATTCTTCTTGAGCAAGGAGCAAGGGATATGACTCACACATAGAATGTACAATACAGTTCTGACCTTTTTTTGTGTGTGTAGGTTTGCTCAGCAAACCACTTCCCTTTGCACAATGGGGAGGGCGAGGCTGTTCTCAATATTAAAATCAGCCAGGGTTATTAGAAGTCATTCACCTACCTCTACATAAAAGACAGTTTAAAAACATTAATTCATGACATAACTTCACATTTAGACCTCTCTTTTTTGCCAAGAATGTCTGGGTAAAATTCCAAGTTATCGCACATGTGCAAAATATAATACACGTGCTAAGCAGGCCAAGAATTAGTAGAGTTGATGAAAAAATAATGTTAGAATACAGCCATAGAGTTGTAGTTCCTGTAGACACAGAGTTTACAAAAAGCTGTATCCCCTTAGCCACAATTAAACTAGACTACCACACATGCTATTTGAGATGAATTACATCTGTTGGCATTACATTGAAGTTGCATTATGGATGTTAGCACAATAGAGATTTTGCCGGGGCCTAGTAGCATCTTGTGATATTTTTCGTTCATTCAAGAATTGTATATTGAGCTTCTGTCATGTGACAGTAGCATGCTAGAAATGGTTGACAGAGAGGTAAGTAAGACAGCCCTTCTCCTTATTTTTTCTTGCTTGCTATTAAGTACTCCATGCTGACCATATCTATCCTGGTCACCAAACATGCAGATGGCTACAAGGAATGCAGAGAATGTTTATACAGCAGTTCAGATGTTTTGATAGATATTATGCAAGAACTCTATGTGATTACTCTGCAGCACAAAATTAATGTGTTAAAAATCAGCCATGAAATTGTATTTCTAAGGTCTTCTTGCTTTTGACTTTAGAATTTAATAGTTAAGTCCATTGAGTCGCATTTGATTATCGATTTTTAAGATTAAACTTGTTTGCACCATTTAACAAAGAAATAGTGTTTTGATTGCCCTTGGAATATAAATACACACTCTATGTGATGCTTCATGGAGCCTTTTATTTTCCTTTGAATATCCATATCTTCTCCTCAGTCTCATAGAACATCAGAATGAGGTGGGAATTTGGGTGTCATAATGCTAGTCAAATATTTCCATTGTGTTCATAATGTTTGAAAGTGCTTCCTTTATGTAGACTGGAGGTTCTGGAATACTTCTGTCCACTAATAAATAGTATTTAATTATTAATTACTAATATTTCATTTTTCATTAAAAAACATATTACTCCCAATTGGAGCTTCCAATTAAAATGAAGTAATTACAATTATCAGTAGACAGTGTGTCTATTGCTTCTGGAATCAGACTACCTGCGGCAAAAATCTCCTCTCTGCCATTAATGAGCTTTCAACCTCCACCAAATTCCTTAATTTAATATGTCTCAGTTTCCTTATCTGTAGATTAGTGATGACAGAAGTACATATCTCACAGAGTTGGGAAGATTTCTGCATTATAATAACCCAAAGAAAAGAGTGTATTTTATGATCTCATCCAGCCTAACATGGAAAAAATGCACACTTCCAATAGGGTTTCTAAAACATTAAAAATATTTTAGCTTGTGAATATCCATTATTCCAATGACATTCTAAGATCCCAGGCTGGAAACTGCTATTTGTGAATAAACTTCTCTTTTAAAGATGATAAACTTGAAATCCAGAGAGGCAAATTGTCTGAAGACACCGACATAGCTAGAGTCAGAAGTTCTAGTTCTAGTGTTCTAGAACCTAACTACCAAATTGTAAGACTGTGCGTTTATTAGGCTAGTTGGAAGTTTGTTCATAAAGGTCATAAATACACTTGGGTAAGAGACAGACACAGAATTAGAGGTAGGAGCACTGACTCATTGTCATGGATTCTGTGTGAGCTGAGTGGACTCGATTGAAGTTCTGTTTTGTTTGGAATAACAGAAGTCTCCTGAATCTATAAGGTGTATGTTTCCAGAATTTAAAAATTCCCAATTGTAAAATATCACTGTTGCACATACCATCTACCGGAAAATGCATTAAAGAATAAATGAGAAATTGAAGTAACCTCTTATGACCTTTAATAAGTTTATAAATATTGACTAATGCCTTATAAGGCTTGTGAAATTACTTCTGCCATAGAAATGAAGTTGACAATGTATTAGGACATCATTACTGAAGTAAGTGAACCATGAGCTTACCTGAAGAGCAGAAATGACGGTGATGGGTGTCTGTGACTGTTGCTGCCCTGAGGGCTGACGGCAGTGCTGAGAAGAGACAAGGTGAAGCCAGGAAGGCCTTCCTGCCCTACCTGTACACTCTGGACCCCTAGCTAGGCTCACAAGGTGCTAAACGACTCCCTAGATCAGCCTTGACAGTTTCGTAGTCTTGTCTCAGCCAATTACCATGTACTATTTGTCAGGAATCTTCTGGAAGCTCCTGCACAATGGAAATGTGAGAATGATGAGCTCCCAAATGCTACTGTCTGTTGTGCTCAGTGCTGATGAGGATTTGTTCATACTTGTTTATTTTGTTAGTGGGACTATGAATTGGTACAAACTGTGGGGAGTGCAACGTAATGTTATATTACTTAGGTTTTAAAACTGTTCATTATCTTTGACCAGCGAATCCACATTTACAGATCTATTTTAGGGGAATATTTAGAAACACATGCACACTTAGAGAACTATACAGTAGGAAAACACAGGAAGCAATCTCAATGATCATCAATAGGAAAGTGATTAAAAATACTGTTTATACGATGGAAAATAAACAGCTATTACAAATGATATTTTAGAAAAATATTTTTGTGAAGAAATAGGATCTAATGTCAAGTCAAAAATGAAAAATCAGAGTATAAATCTATATATAGAAATTCTGTGTCTTTTTTTGTTTTTTTTGGTGCCGGGAATCAAACTCAGGACCTTGTGCATGCCAGGCAGGCACATATGCCACTGAGCTATAACCCCAGCCCCTCTGTATCATTTTTAATGTTTTTATTTTTATACTCTTTAAAATAAAAAATAAATCTATGGATATACATTATGAACATATTTGTAAAATATTTTATGTCCTCAAACAGTGAAGACAGAAAGGAAATAAGCCAACATGTAAACAATGCTCCATTTTAGAGGTGGGATTATAGAAGATGTTTATTATTCTGTATGTTACACCATTTTTACATGATGTAATACTTAAAATTAACTAATTTTATTAAATAAAACATAGCCATGTTTATAAAATTAAGTACAGAATGAAAAGAAACACAGAAACCTAATTATTCTTCACAGAAACACATTTAATATTTTCTTAATTATCCTTTCAGAGAACCTAAATTGTACAAGCTGTGTGTATGTGTGTGTCTGTATTAACATTCCTTCTTCACAAATGGACAAATATCACAAATACTGTTTTATACTTCACTTTTTTCGTTGTACAAAACATCTTGGAAATTGTTGCATGGGAGCAAATACCCGGCCATCTCATTATTTTTATTTAAATTTATTTATTTTTGATTTAAAACTAATATATAAGAACTGCACATTTTTATGGGGTGCTGTGTCATGTTTCCATATGTGTGTACTTCATTATTTTTAATGACTGCATGGTGTTTTCCAATGTGGATGGAACATTATTTATTTAATCTGTCCTTTATTGCTAGACATTTAAGCTACTTAAGGCATTAGATTACCTTTTGATGATATAAACAATGTTATTATAAACAATTTTGTGTGTACGTTTTTATGTACAGGAATAGGTACATGTCTAAAATCCTGAGTCAAAGGTCTATATTACACAATGGAAAAAATATAGATGAGTTGTAAAACTTAATCTGATTATAGCACATGATCCAGAAGCAAAGATTTTTAAAAGTTCAAAATGTAGTAGTCCTAAATACTTAGTGTACTTAAATATTATTTGGGTTTTTTTTTTTACTATTATGTGTCTTGACATATAAAATAAACAATAGCATATTGCAAAGGCACTGTCTAAGTCTCTGAAAAAGAGTCTGATTCACAGCAGTTAATTTTTTTTTTTTTTTTTTTTTTTTTTTTT